AGTTGCACGGCTATTAATTCCCCTAGGAGCTCACATTCTAAAGAACCTATTCCCCAACGTTGCTAGTGTTTTATGTGCAATATGGCGACTGACACCGTCCATATTTCTGAAATTTCCCTGGTGGATACTCCCACGAAGTCAGTTACCTTAGGCCCTGAGAGAGCTACGATTGTCCGTGAGATCCTGGGTGTCCCTATCAAGGTACGGATACTTGTTTTATGCAACTAAAACGAAATGTATTATTCAACCATATTATTGACATTCTGCCTCGTTCTTTGGTAGCCAGGTCCGAATGAAATAGTTATCTATGGGGTGGACCCTCAAGTTGACCCTGACTCGATTCGTGTGTCTGGTCATGGCCCTGGCACCATAACCGACATACAGACTACCACAGTGACGCAAAGGACTCCGTTCGACGAGCTGTTTCCTGGCTGTGAAGTCGAGACTGGTGATGACGATATTGACGAGGAGGATCCGGACGACAATTTCGGGGTTGATAGATCTGAACTCTCAACTGCGGAGACGGAGTTGAAGGCTTTAGAGTCCGACCTTGCTGCAGCAGAGAGAGAACGGCAAACTGCAAAGAAGTCACTCCAGGTCCTGGATGACTATGGTAAAACTATCAAGGCAGGCGATGTGCCTGCCACGAAGTTAGATGAGTATCTCCGTGGTTATCAGACTCAGGTCTCGGCATTGGGTGAAGTTTTGTACAATTGTGACAACAAAGTAACGGAAATTTCTGAGAAGAAAATGAGGGTATGCCGCAAGGTGAATAAGCTTTCAGTAGCATTCAATCGAGCTCGAGACGCAGCTGCAAAGCCCGAGCGCGATACCAGGAAGAGGAAGTTGCACGAGCGTAATGTCGTGGTTGCGGAAAAGCGAAGACGCCGAGATGAGCATTATCAATTTTATCCGTCGGAGGTGGGCATAGTTACGCTATTCCTGGACGGCTTTCCCAACCTCAATCCAAACGCCAGCGGTCAAAATCATACGACTTTGGCTACCAATTCCCTTGAGGGAATGGGGAAAATAAGCCTTTCTCTGACCTATGTGACGAAGAAGGCGGCGTGGGTTCCCGCTTACGAGTTGAGTCTGACGACAGTATCCCTGGCCGGAAAAGGGGTATATTTGGCAGAGTATCATAATTCGAGCTCTGAGGTATGGCGCGATGCAAAGCTCGCGTTGTCCACGTCGGAGGCTTCCTTTGGTGGACTTGGGGAGAAGCTTCCATTGCTCAAGGCGTGGCATGTGAATTTACACAAGGAAAAATCTGAGGAAACAAGTAACGCTGACAGCTGGCGCAGCGGCTTGGAGAATCCCGCCGAAATCAACTCCAGAATGGCTCTAGACCGCGATGCATTTGTTAAGAAAAATACCAATACTCTGCCGACAATATCACCCAGTCTTTTGATGAATAAAACGGCTAACCAAACGGAGTTTGTGGCGGACCAACAACATTCATTACAACAGGTACTGCAACGGCAGCAACAGCTGATACATAATCACCGCATGCGACAGCAGCAACAGCAGCAACAAGTGCAACAAGTGCAATTGGCCAACATAGCCCAATCGCAGAGGATGCTTCCGCCTCCTCCATCCGCTACCGCACCTGTATCAACTCCACTGGCATCTGTCCCTATGATATCAGGCAATCCCCTCGAAGATGATGACGCCACTATTGATGGCGACTCAATAGATCCTGAATCGAATGCGCTCACTTTCCAAGAATCGTCCCGGCATGATCACGGTTTGACAACCAGCTACGATATACCAGGAAGCCGAACCCTCCGCCCTTCATCACTGAAACGCCGTCACGTAATCGCCGAACTTGGTTTCCCCAAAGTCGGATTCTCCCATGTGATCATCCCCAAACTCCGTCCCGCTGCTTTTCTCCGCGCCAAGGTCCTCAATACATCATCGCTGACACTTCTCCGTGGACAAGTCGGCATCACCCTTGACGGCACATTCATGGGAATCGCAGTACTTCCCGGCGGCCGTCCAAACACTACCCTTAGCCTAAGCCTTGGCGTCGACCCAGGGATCCAGGTCTCTTATGCTAAACCCAGCTTGAAGCGGATGTCTGGTGGATTTTTTGCGGGAGGATTAGAGACTGCAGTATTCACACGTTCATGTCGGATCACCAATACCAAGTCAGCCGCGGTTTCGTTGGTGGTGCTCGACCAGGTGCCCGTCAGCCAAAACGAAAGTTTGAAGGTTAATATTTTGGAACCTAAGGGGCTAGATAAAGAAGGTGATTCTGCCACTGTTCTTCTTAATAGCAGTGCCGTCAAGACGGGCTGGGGTTCTGGACGGGTAACGAGACTTAAAGGGGGGGAAATTATGTGGCAGCTTGAGGTTGAAAAGGGGATGGAGGTAAAGTTGACACTGGTTTATGAGGCGAAAATGCCAACTGGACAGCAGATCGTCGGGGTTCGTTGATTGGATTCATTTCCTTCAGCCTCTTGTATATGCCATTTGGGCTCATATGTTTTGATACTAGGAGCCTAATTTCTGGTCTGGCGGCAACAGTTTTTGATTGTAAAGTGTACTGTACCTGGACGAAATGTAGTGGGTTGGTGCTTTTCAAACAGTTAGGTCTACTCCAAGACCTAGTTGTGGGATGGTTAATCTTTGTTGTATGTAATGGATACTAATGTGATTCTGATCATAATACAAACTTCAGAAGGAATTCATTCTGATACTTGTAGACTAAGCAATTGAGAGCGGTAGATAAAGAATCAAATTGGATATTAGTTCATGTTATACTGTGAAGATAGTGCAACATGGAGTTCTCTTATGCAACTGTCAAATATAGAAAAACTCAGTGAAGAAGTCAAAAGGTAGGATACATTAGAACAACAGACCTTAGGATTTACTCGGGATCTTGGTACATGACTTAATGGTACGGAGTTCTTTTGCAATATATACTCGCAACATACCCCATGTATTGGAAACTATTTTATTCTAAACCTCGATGTACAACCCTCTTGCCATCAGGGTTAGAAGAGTAATAAAGAGCACAAGGATATCTGAGGGATGTATGCCATAACTCGTCAACGAGACAGTTTAGCTTCGATTGAATGCTCGGCCAACGTTGAATTAAATGATTCTGATATAACTTTCGGCATAGCCGGTGATTGGCCCCGCAGCCAATGCCGCGCAGTGAAATGCATAGCCGAGCTCTCTTCCCGGCGCCATTCTGGCAAGTAGAAATCATTGTGGCCAGCAACTATGCGTTCTGTGGGCTGCGGAGGCTAGATATTTAGTTAATAGAGGCTTCGAAGTAATTTTATACAAAGGACGGCAGACACAATTGCGGACCCCAGGATGATGCTGAACCCCATGGCGTGCCAATATTTACATCTCACTCTCCTGTCTGCTACCATTGCAAAATACTATACAAGAAACATCTTTTGTCCCCCCCTGAATACATGGAAATGACACCGCCCTTCACTTTCTCCTCGATCCCAACAATCGACCTCTCCCTCGCCAACTCCCCCACGACAAAACCCGCCCTCCTCCGGAAACTCCACTATACCCTTATCTCCGTCGGATTTCTCTACGTATCCAACCACGGCGTCCCGGAAAACGTCATCGCAGACCTCGTCAACGTGGTCCCGCAGCTGTTCAGTTTGCCAGAGGCGGCCAAAGATGAAATTGCGCTGCGCAATTCGGCCCACTTTTTGGGATATAGCGGTGTAGGCACGGAGACGACGAGAGGGATAGCTGATAGACGGGAACAGGTGGAGTTTGCGACGGAGTTGGATGTCACTTACCAACCGGGGAAGCCGCTGTATGAGAGGTTAAGGGGCCCGAATCAGGTACATCCAATTTCAGACACTTACACAAACTACATACACGTATATCCCATGCTGCTGCATATGGATATAATAAATTCTGAGCATACCAATACTTACATAAAACAACAACAACGCAGTGCCCTCCACTCCTACCGTAAAACAATCGTCAATCGTATATCTCCATCTAACGTCACTAGG